CCTTTCTCCCTGGTGCTCATATGTGCCCTCTGGCAATAAAAAAAAAATAAAAAAGAAGTTCAAATTCACCGTTAATCAATAATATACACATTAAAATGCACCTGTCAGATTGGCCAAAACTTAAATGTCTGATAACACCAAGTACTTTATCTGACAAGGATATAGAAGAACAGAGAATCTCACTACTGGGGGGACAGAAAGCTGGTAAAGCCACTTAGAGGAGAAAGTTGGTGATGTGCAGCAGTACTGAAGAAGGTGTCAGGACCCAGTGATCACATATCAGGATATTCTGGAGTCCAGCCCGATAGCACAGCGGTTAAGTACTACACAGAGGAATCTGTGGCCCTAGAAGTTTGAGAACACGTCAGGCCCACATACCTGCCTGGGATCCTGATGGGATAGAGAACTGGAGGAAGAAGGATTATGGCATAAACAGGCCCCTCTGGGAGGAATTGCCTCTCTTTCTCCCTCTCTCCCTCTCTCTCATGTGTACACACATACTTTCTGGCTTAGAAGAAAATCTGTATAATGTAAAGCATTTTTTAGACAGATATCCAAGGAGACAGGTATAAGGAAATAAAGACTTTCATTGCATCATTATTTGTAATAGTAAAACGTTGGAAACAACCTAAATGTGTGTGGATAGGAGAATGTTGTTGGCATATTCAGCGACAGGATAATACCTTACAGCAGTTAAATAGCAATCTGTATGTATCGACATGGATAAATCTCCAAAATGGTGTGGAAGGCAAGAAGCAACTCTTACAACGGTACGTACATTCTTAAACATAAAGTTCTTAAATGTAAAGTTTAAGAACATATAGAATAATGCTCTTAGATTGAATCACACAAAATGGCCATTTTTGTAGGTTAAAAAAAAAACAGGTAAATATCAGCATGTTTATTCAATTCAATCTGTTGGTGGATATGTGCGTTTCAGTGATGGACATGCAATTCAGTATGGCATTATCTCCTAGGGGGTGGTGGTGAGGAGGGAATGGGATGCTATTGAGAGGGTATATGGAGGAGCTTCAGCTTCAATTGTCATATTTTATTTCTTCAAAAAAGCTTTGAAGAAAGTATGGCAAGTGTTATATTTATTAAAGGGTGGAGGGGTTATGGGTATACTCTTACAATACTCTTGCACATTTCTGTTGTAACGGTTTGATAATTGCTTATGCAAAGCAAAGTGTTGGCAGAGGTATCTCATTTTTAATCATTAGAAAGAAATATTTACAAAATGATTCAATCCTTTGCTGACTTACCCCAACATAGTGCTCATGAGGCTTTTCGTTTAACATTAATTGAAAAGCATCTCCCCTCACACATCAGTCAAAAGTTTCCAATTTTATTTTTTCCTTTTGGTATTAGTAAGATCATCCTCATAAAAACCATTCATTAGTGCCTCTTTGTCGTGTGCTGTTGTTTGGTGGTGGTCAGATGCATCTATCTGCCTTGTTATATATGACATCTGGTGATGATATTTAAATGTCTCTGTTTCTGTGTTTTGTTTTTGTTTGTTTGTTTTTACTTCTTTGATGCCAACAGGAATCTACAAGCTGAATATGATCGTCTAAAGCAGCAGCATGAACATAAAGGCCTGTCCCCACTGCCGTCCCCTCCTGAAATGATGCCCACCTCTCCTCAGAGTCCTCGGGATGCTGAGCTCATTGCTGAGGCCAAGCTACTGCGTCAACACAAAGGCCGCCTGGAAGCCAGGATGCAAATCCTGGAAGACCATAACAAACAGCTGGAGTCCCAGTTACACAGGCTAAGGCAGCTGCTGGAGCAAGTGAGGCCCACGTCTCTCTACTATGGGATATTTACAAACACTCATTTCCCCCTTTAAACAAAACTAAACAACAGAAAGGAGTCCTTTTAAGTTTTTCGAGTTTATTAATTTATTCTACGAGAGAGAGATACGGGTACTCCCAACAGGGTCATCATGCTACTATCCACCCTTTGTCTCAGCTGGCTCTGATCATGGACATGCACGCATTCACCCAGTGTGTTTAGGGAGATCCTGAGTCATGAATCCAGGTCCTTTCCCATGTGAATGCAGTTGCAAGATCAGTGCACCATCACCTGGCCCCTCAGATTCTTTTTCCCTCCTCAGAGGGCATGTACACTCGCCAGGGAGAGACAGAGGAAGAAAGTACAGCCCAGTGGGGCATGGTCAAGCCACAATCACTTATCTTCCATTTCTCTGTCCTGCCATGATTTGGGGCATACATGCAGACATGCCTAGCATGTTTTTCAAGCTGCTGGGGTTGGGATTTGAACTGCAGTCAGCCATGTGAGATCTGGCTTCCTTAACCTCTAGGCCACAGGGCCAGTCCCTCAGGGTCACTTTTATAAGTGCAAAAAGCATTGTTCCTCATGTGCTTCATATGTACCTAGTAAAGTGCTAGGTACCAAGAGCTATAAGAAAAGAGGAAAACTGTTGTGTCTTTTTATATTTATTCAAGATTGTGTCCTACTAAAATGTGTTTTATTTGACCAGTTTGAAATACATATTAGAAAAAAAACATGCCAAAAGGTTTCCACTAGCTTTCTAAAAGTGAACATTTTACCTCTTGAGGTAGAACTCTCTTCTTTGCAATTATAGTCATTCTTAGCACAACACAGGTTTGAATTGCACGGGCCTACTTATACACTGAGTTTTCCAATAAATACCGTAAATGTATTGTTTCTTCATTATAGTTTTCTTAATAAGTTTTTTCCTCTAGTTAAGTTTATTTTTATTATTATTTTTACCAGAGGACATTGCGCTTGCCAGAGAGAGACAGACAGAGAAGGAGAAAGTGTCCCCCAGTGGGGCACCGTTATGCCATAATCCCTCCTCCTTCCTTTCTCCATCCCATTAGGATCTTGAGAATGCACACACAGGCTCAAGCTTACCTTATTGTTTGAATACAATAAAGAGTGCTAGTAGACTGTTTGTGTTATCTATCAGTAAGGCTTCCAGTCAATAGTGGGCTACTAGTAGTTAAGTTTTGGGGGAGTCAAAAGTTATATGCAAAGTTTTGACTGCACGAGGATTGGTGCCCCTAACTCCCATGCTATTCAGGGGTCAACATAGAGTTATATTTTCTTGTATACCTTTGGGTTTTTTCTTCTTCTGATCACTAACAGATAATATATTTTTTTTAATTCTTCATTGAAAGGGGCTAGTGGGTAGTGTGGTAATTAAAGTGCTAGACTCCCACATGGCCAACTGCAGTTTAAGTCCCAGACTCAGTGGCTTGAAAATCACATCAGGTGCATGTGTGCACCTGCCCAAAATCCTAAGAGGAGAATGGAGGATTCCCTGAGAAGGGATTCCAGCATGGCCAACCTCCTAGGGGGGTGATTTCTCACTTTCTCTCACATTATCTCTCTCTTTCTCTCTCCAGTGATTATATGTGCACTATAGAAAATACCTAAACAACAACAAAAAAATTCTCTGTTGAAAACCTAACAAGATACTCTCTTGTACCTGGACATGGTCCCTGCTTTATGGAAGTTTTAAATTTTGAGATATGTTCTGTCTTGTTACTTAATACTTTACAAAAATATGAATTCTCTATTACCTTTTTGAGATGTCACATGCTCTCACCATTCTCACATCACTTACTAAGTCTTTCAGTTATTTAGTCTAATGATTTGTATCTCATTCCATTGTAGTTCTATTTTTTCTCAGTTTTATAAGGAGACATGATTCAGATATGAAGATACTATCCATCTATCTTATCAATAGCGAAATATCCCAAATTCAGCCATCTTTGGGAGGTTTCTAAGTCAGAAAGATCAAAATTTCTGAGTTCTGACTGTCTAATATATTTATATTTATATTTTTGAGTGTTTCTTGTGAAAAATAATTCTATTTTCTTTTGGATGCCTTAGCCCCAGGCAGAGGCCAAGGTGAATGGTACAACGGTGTCTTCTCCTTCTACCTCTCTTCAGAGGTCAGACAGCAGTCAGCCCATGCTGCTTCGAGTGGTTGGCAGTCAAACTTCAGAATCCATGGGTAAGTCTCTTAGCTACTCTCAGACTTTGCTATGTCTTAAGATCTAGGAATGGTAAAATGTTTGCTCAGAAGTACGGATCATCAGGTAAATGATCTAATACCAGTTCTGGCTAAGGCACTGTCATAAATGCCTCAGATTATATACTGATGAGTGACATACTTTGACAGACTGTATATTCAGAACAAGGCAGAGTGGTATTAAAGTTTCATTCATGTTAGAGATCATGGAAGGATTTATGACCAGTTGATATTTGTGAAGAGTTCCAAAAGATAGAGTAGGGACCAAGTATAGCTTGAAGAAGGAATAGTATAAGTGAAGGTGTGTTGATGAGGAACACAGGCTAAGGGTGAGAAATAGTCAAAAGATTATTTTAGTAAAAAGATACAGCCTAAGCAGGATGTAGAGGGGAATAAGACTGCAAAGGAAGATTGGAGTCACATTATAGTGATATAGTGACATGAATGGTGGACAGAGGTATGTACTTGATTTTGGTAAGTATCAAGAAGTTACTGAAAATCACATACCAGTGAGACATATCTAAGATGAAATTTCTAAAATGTTATATTCTGGCAGTTATATCTGACCCAAAGTGAAACTTTTATAGGTGGAAAGCCTAGTTAGGAGGCAGTTGCAAAGGACAAAATATGTGAGCTCTGAGGGTCTGTGCCTGAGAGATGTAGGAAGAGATAACTGAGAGTAATACATGAAAATAGAGTTCCCAGGGCCTGAGGACTGACTGCAAAATGTGAGGAAAGAAAATGAAGGGAGAGGATTTCGTTGGAAAAAGATAGTGAAATTTTTTTAAGGAATTATTCATTTAATTTTATTTATCATTATTTTTTAAATTTGTTACAGGGCATGTACACTCACCAGAGAGAGAGAGAGAAAGAAACAGAGGGGAGAGAGAGAAGGAGAGAAAGAGAGAGAGGGAAAGTGAAAAAGCAAGCTTCCAAGTCCAGTTCAAACTGTGGTCAGCCATGTGGGAGTTCAGCACCTTAACCACCATGCCACCTGCTGGCCCATATAGTGAAACTTTTTATTGTGAATATAATATGTTTGAGGGCACCCAGGCCAATCCTCTAACTCATGTCTGAGATTTACAGGTCCATATCTGATGTAAGAGATAGGTTAGGAAGATTTGAGAGTAAAGTCCATAAGATTGATTGCTAAAGGATGTAAGACGAGAAATACACTTATAACAAAGGTTCTTTGTTGCTATGCCAGAGAAGACCTCCATTTGGGTAATGCGGTAGTGAAGGACTGGGTAGTAAAGATGGTTTCCAGGAAAATATGATCACAATGTCAAAATCTACTGAGAGCTCAGTAGAAATAAAAATTAATCACAATGATTGAATAACTGTAAATGCACTGGTTACTTCTGAGAAAGAATTTTCATGCGGGAGAAGGGAAATTGAAGAACTTCTGCATTTTCAGTGAAATGAAGACCAAGTAATCTTAAAAAATGAGTGATGATTGAGGAAAGTGAAGACACTTTTGAAACATTACCAAGTAAGAATGAGAGCTTAGGTAAAATTTAGGTGAATTTATTGAGAAAATAGTAAACGTGGTCTGGTGTCATTCTTCAGTAATGAACTCTGCCTAAGAATACATTCTAAGAAAGTTGGAGTTGAGGAGGTATCAATGATAGAAGAAGGTCAAAGTAGGTTAGGTATTTTTTTTTTCTTTTTTCTTTAAATTTTATTTTTTTAATTTTATTTTCTTTTATACATTTACTCACATTATTATTTGGCTTACAAGATGGATATTTCAACAGGTGAACATTTCTCCCTAGTACAGTTGATAAAACTACAAAATATCTTCAACAGATAATACCACATTTCTTTGTGCCGTTAATGCTTTGCCTCCCTGTTTTTCTTCTAAATATTTTCTACTGGTAAGGAAGGGCTGTGGCAGGGATTACTAGCCAGCTTTTCATTGTTTTTTTCCAGATGTCCTAGGCTAGACAATACAGGGTTTTATGAAAACACAAACACTTGTTTCATCCCCCTCATTTTCCCTTTCTCTCTTAAGTCCCTCATGAGTTAGCCCTATACTCTATCCTTCCTTTAACCAGGGTCCTAAACTGGTTGTACTTGACCTTCTCAATCTTACCTCACAGGAAAGAAACCTATGCCTCTTTCATTCCTTACACTTAAAGCTCTGTTGCCTGGTTTGATGGCATGTTCAGGAATTCATTTCATATTTGAGATTTTCCATGAGAGTAGAACAGAGGCATAGTGCCTAACCAAAATTAATTGGACAGAAAGGAAGGTCAGTGATATGAGTGAGTGAGTTGTACGGTGGTCAGCCATGTGGGAGTTCAGCACCTTCACCACCATGCCACCTGCTGGCTCACATAGTGAAAATTTTTATTGTGAATATAATATGTTTGAGGGCACCCAGGCCAATCCTCTAACTCATGTCTGAGATTTACAGGTCCATATCTGATGTAAGAGATAGGTTAGGAAGATTTGAGAGTAAAGTCCATAAGATTGATTGCTAAAGGATGTAAGACGAGAAATACACTTATAACAAAGGTTCTTTGTTGCTATGCCAGAGAAGACCTCCATTTGGGTAATGCGGTAGTGAAGGACTGGGTAGTAAAGATGGTTTCCAGGAAAATATGATCACAATGTCAAAATCTAAGGAGAGCTCAGTAGAAATAAAAATTAATCACAATGATTGAATAACTGTAAATGCACTGGTTACTTCTGAGAAAGAATTTTCATGCGGGAGAAGGGAAATTGAAGAACTTCTGCATTTTCAGTGAAATGAAGACCAAGTAATCTTAAAAAATGAGTGATGATTGAGGAAAGTGAAGACACTTTTGAAACATTACCAAGTAAGAATGAGAGCTTAGGTAAAATTTAGGTGAATTTATTGAGAAAATAGTAAACGTGGTCTGGTGTCATTCTTCAGTAATGAACTCTGCCTAAGAATACATTCTAAGAAAGTTGGAGTTGAGGAGGTATCAATGATAGAAGAAGGTCAAAGTAGGTTAGGTATTTTTTTTTTCTTTTTTCTTTAAATTTTATTTTTTTAATTTTATTTTCTTTTATACATTTACTCACATTATTATTTGGCTTACAAGATGGATATTTCAACAGGTGAACATTTCTCCCTAGTACAGTTGATAAAACTACAAAATATCTTCAACAGATAATACCACATTTCTTTGTGCCGTTAATGCTTTGCCTCCCTGTTTTTCTTCTAAATATTTTCTACTGGTAAGGAAGGGCTGTGGCAGGGATTACTAGCCAGCTTTTCATTGTTTTTTTCCAGATGTCCTAGGCTAGACAATACAGGGTTTTATGAAAACACAAACACTTGTTTCATCCCCCTCATTTTCCCTTTCTCTCTTAAGTCCCTCATGAGTTAGCCCTATACTCTATCCTTCCTTTAACCAGGGTCCTAAACTGGTTGTACTTGACCTTCTCAATCTTACCTCACAGGAAAGAAACCTATGCCTCTTTCATTCCTTACACTTAAAGCTCTGTTGCCTGGTTTGATGGCATGTTCAGGAATTCATTTCATATTTGAGATTTTCCATGAGAGTAGAACAGAGGCATAGTGCCTAACCAAAATTAATTGGACAGAAAGGAAGGTCAGTGATATGAGTGAGTGAGTTGTACGGTGGAAGATTAGGAAATCATGGTCAGGAAAATTATAAAATTGGACATTGTGGAAGTAAAATTCTCTCAAGCAATTCTGACATCTTAGTGCTACACCCAGTGTGCTACCGAAGATTGTTATATGGAGGGCATCAAGGGATAAGAGATGGTTTGTGGGGTTGATGAGGCCAGGGTTATTTGGCTCATTTGCAGTGCCACGAGGTGGTCTTAATTAGCAATGATTATTGCAGACCAGGATGAGAAAAATGTTGAGGGCAGTGGATGAGGGCTCAGAAGATGTGACTATTTCTGAAGAAGGAAAGATGTTTGTTGAAGCATCTGATCAAATTCAAGAACCTACAGCAGTGGGCAGAGGCATGTCCTCCTCTAGAGGATCAAACCTTTTAGGAAAGCGAGATTTCAACTCTTTTGAGAAGGAAGAGGAAATGTTTGAGATTCTTGTCCTGACTTAACTACACCTCAGTTGACTAAAGGCAATCTCTGTGTCAGATTCTTCTTCCATATGAGATCTGAATATAGCTAATGGACAGTTGGAGCTATAAATGGTAGCATAGTACATGAAAAAATAGTGTATGCCTTTGAAAAGTCTATGAATTAATTTCAAAACAACTGAGCTTTTTTTTTTGGAGAGATTTTCACTGTAGGGCGCGTGTACTCACCAGACAGACAGAGAGAGACATAGAGACAGAAAGCGAGAAATCACCCCCCAGAGGGGATGGCCACGCCACAATCCCTTCTCCTCCATTCTCCTCTCAGGATCCTGGGCATGCACACACACGTGCCCGGCATGAGTTTTAAGCCACCGGGTCCGGGACGTGATCCGAAGTCAACTACGTGGGAGTCCACCGACATAGCCATTACACTAACTGCTGGTTCCCACAACTGAGCTTTAACACCTCTGTTGTTCTTTCCTACTTCAGAATTTTCCCTTCTTTTGAAGTAAATGATCTGAAACAAAGTTATATATTTCATCCAGAGCCCTGGGTGCTTAGAAGCATTAAATATTTGGACTGTCAACACAGACAAAGGCAGCATGCCCGTTCAAGTACCCAAATTAAAGGAGCTAGAAGGTAGTATAGTGGTTAAGGCAGCTGGATCCCACGTGGACAACTGCATCAATTAAGTTTTGGACCTGGCGATCTAAAAAACATGACAGGTGTATGTGCTTGCATCCCCAAAATCCCAAGAGGAGAATGGAGGAGAAGGGACTCCAGTGTGGCCATCCCCCCTAGGGGGGTGCTTTCTTGCTTCCAATCTCTCTGCCTCTCCAGTGAGCGTATGCACTCTGTAGAAAAAAAAATCTCTCTCAAAAATATAAAATTTAAGAAATACCCTAATTAAAGTGTATGTCAGACTGTGGGCCTGAT